TAGCACCCGAAGGGCCCAATTAGCTTGTGGGTAGTGGAGGAAGTGACTGAAAGCTGGCAGAGAGTAGAGCAAGCAGCATTGTTCCCTCTTGGTCCCCTCCCACACATACAGCATCACAATGCAGTGAAGTGGGTTACCCTGCCCTGGTGAGTACCTAAGGCTCTGCCTATTACTACATAACAGGCATGTGGAGACAAGAAAAAAATATGGCCCAAATGAAAACATATCAAAGATCCAGAAAAAAATACAACTAAGTGATGAAAAGATAGCCAATCTATAAAATGCAGACTTCAAAAAAATGGTAAGCAGGATGCTCACAGAAATGGCTGAGTATGATCGCAAAATACAAGAAGAAATGAAGGTAATGAAAACTAAAATAAAGGACAGTATACAGGGAACCAACAGTGAAGGCAAGGAAACTGGGGCTCAAATCAACGATTTGGACCAGAAAGAAAAAATAAACATTCAACCAGAACACAATGAAGAAACAAGAATTCAAAAAAATGAAGAGAGGCTTAGGAACCTTTGAGACAACTTTAAATGTCCCAACATCCTAGTGATAGGGGTGCCAGTAGAAGAGGAAGAGCAAGAAATGTAAAACTTGTTTGAGTAAATGATCAAGGAGAAGTTCCCTAATCTATTAGGCAAAAGAAATAGACTTCCAGGAAGTCCAGGAAGCTCAGAGAGTCCCAAAGAAGTTGGATCCAAGGAAGCACACACCAAGCCACATCAAAATTACATTACCCAAGATTAACAATAAGGTGAGAATCTTAAAAGAAGCAAGAGAGAAGGAGACAGTTACCTATAAAGGAATTCTCATAAGACTATTAGCTGATTTCTCAGAAGAAACCTTACAGGCAAGAAGGGGCTGGAAAGAAGTATTCAAAGTTATGGAAGTCAAGGCCCATATCCAAGATTACTTTATCCAGCAAAACTATCATTTAGAATGGAAGGGGAGATAAAGCGCTTCCCAGATAAGGTCAAGTTTAAGGAGTTCATCATCACCAAGCTCTCATTATATGAAATGTTAAAGGCTCTTATCTAAGAAAAAGAAGATAAAAAATATAAACAGTAAAATGACAACAAACTCACAACTATCAAAAACTGAATCTAAAAGAGCATAAACAAAACAAACTAATGAAACAACTAGAAGAGTAACATTCACAGAAATGTAGATCATATGGAGGGTTATCAGCAGGGAGAGGAAGGGGGGAATAAGGGGAATGGGAAGAAAGGTACAAGGAATAAGAAGAACAAATGATAGATACAAAATAGACAGGGGTAGGTAAGAATAGTATAGGAAATGAAGAAGCCAAAGAATTTATATGTATGACCCATGGGCATGAACTAAGGAGGGGGAATAAGGGTGGACCGGGGGTGGGGTATAAAGGGGAGTAAAAAATGGGACAAATTTAATAGCATAATCAATAAAATACATTTTAAAAACAGGAAACAAATACAGAGGCTGCCAAAACAAGAAGACAAACATGGCCCAAATAAAAGAATAGACTAAAGTTCCAGAAAAAGAGCTAAATGAAATGGAGATAAGCAATCTATCAGATGCAGAGTTCAAAATACTGGTTATAAGGATGCTCAAGGAACTTAGTGAAGACCTCAACAGCATAAAAAAACATCCAGTCAGTAAAGAAGGATTCACTAATTTATTTAAAGAACTAGTTACAGGGAAACAACAGTAAAGTAGATAAAGCCAAAAATCAAATCAATGATTTGGAACATCAGGAAGAAGCAAAAAACAACCCATCAGAACAATGAGAAGAAAAAAATAGTCCAAAAATGGAGGGTAGTATAAGCAGCCTCTGGTACAACTTTAAGAGGTCCAACATTCGCATTATATGGGTGCCAGAAGGAGAAGAGAAAGGGCAAGAAATTGGAAATCTGTTTGAAAAAATAATGAATATTTCCCCAAATTGATGAAGGAAATAGACATACAAGTCCAGAAAGCATGGAGAGTCACAAAAAGATGGATGCAAAGAGGCCTACTTCTAGACACATCATAATTAAAATACCAATGGTTAAAAAATAAAGAGAGAATCTTAAAGGCAGCAAGAGAAAAGCAGTTAGATACCTACAGAGAGTTCCCATAAGACCATCAGCTGATTTCTCAGATGAAACTTTGCAGGCTGGAAGGGATTGCCAAGAAATACTCAAAGTCATGAAAAGCAGGGACCTACAGCCAAAATTGTTCTACCCAGCAAAGCTGTCATTTAGAATGGAAGGGTGGATAAAGAGCTTCCCAGACAAGAAAAAACTAGAGTAACTCATCATCTCCAAACTATTATTATATGAAATGTTAAAGGGGCTTTTTTAAGAAAAAGATCAAAACTAAGAACAATAAAATGGAAAAAATACATACCTATCAACAACTGATCTAAAAAATAAAACTAAGAAAACAAGAACAGAGACAGAATCATGGACATGGAGAATGTTTTGGTGGTTGCCAGATGGGTAGGGGATGTGGGGGAATGGGTGAAGATATAAGGCGATGAAGTACCAGTAGGTAGTTACACAATAGCCATGGGAATGTAAAGTACAGTATAAGAAAATGATGTAACCAAGGAACTTATATGTATATGTCCATTGTTCATGGATATAAACAATGATGGGGAAATTTCCTGAGGTACTGTGGGGTCCTGGGTAGAGGGGACCACAGGGGGGAAATTCAGGACAACTCTAATAGCATAAACAATAAAACATAATTTTAAAAAAGAATTGGGAAAAAGGATTGTGAAACTGGCATGTGGTCTTCTCTTTAAAAAACATAATATAAGAATACTTCCACAACTTCTTACCTCCAGGCTCTTATTTATTATGTTGTTAATAATGCCTGCAGATTTTACTGGACAGAGAAGAGGACTTAAAGAGTTGTGTATCAGTGCTCGCTTCGGCAGCACATATACTAAAGAGTTGTATATCAGTTACTCATGTAGCTCTTTGGAGGTGGGTGTGAGAACTTGCACCCAGGACCCTGCTTTAGCCTGGCTGAGGAATTTCCAAATGCTTTCAGCAAGACTGAACAGGGCACAGTGGTGCCACAAAGAAAAGAAAAATAAGATTGGTGACCAGAAATTCATGTGGCTCTTACATCCACTGGGTAAATGCAGGTGTATGGGGGAGGGTATTTTTGACAGAAGAGAGTGGGGTTTTCATTCAATCACATTACTCCTGCCATCCATCAGTGCAAGTAAAATGACTTAACCCTTGGACCATGCATTCAAAGTCTGAAGCCTGGTGAGGTTGGAATTATCCATGGAGGATGCTGTTCTCCCTTAGATAGTGGTGAGTATCTTATGGATTTTAATGATGAGTAATCACAGCATAAATTGATATCTGTTCAAAACAAAGATGCTTTATTGCTGGACTTTGAAGCACCTTTGATGGCTCCTCAGGTCACACTGGGGCAGCCCAGTGAACACATTCATCATTGTACTTGTCAGACTCTGACTCTATCAGCTAGTCTCCTGGGTTACTAATTGGTTCCTAAATGTTCTGCTCTTCTCAGAAGGGAGGTGAAGCTAGGAAACTGGCAACTAGAGATAACCATGTCTTTGAAACATTTTTCTTTCAGTGTTTGTTGTGGTGGGGTTGGATATATTTTACTGGTGGATCATTAGGAGTCCACTGGATAGTGAAGAGAAACCAAAGCATATGATTCTAAGCTTTTAGGGTAGAAATCAGATTCTTATATATCATGTTCCCTTTCCTTACAGATTCAGTGCAGTATTGATTTAGCAGACATTGATAAGGTGCCAGTTGCTTTGCTAAGCAGTAGGACTATAAGGTGAATTAATAGTTCAGAATTTAATTAGAGAGATAGACTCATAGCTATTTATATATAATATAGTGGAATAAGAAACTTTTCTGAGTCATTCATTTTAACAAAATTGGTTGTTCTTTAAACACTGTACATCGAGGGATTAATAAAATGTGGCCTTTACCTTCACTGTATGTGTAGTCTAGATGAGTCTGCAAAAAGTGCTATAGAAACCGAGAGAAAAAAGCCATAAATTTTCATGGAGGAAAGAGGCACAGGGCAGAGTTTCAATGGCCACAAAAAGGGAATGGGATCATGAATTGAAAACTTACATCCACCCCAAACCCACACACAAGTATTTGTAGCAACTGTATGCATAATTGCAGAAACTTGGCAACTAACATGTCCTTCAATAAGTGAATACATAAACAAACTATGATCAATCTAGAGAATGGGATATTACTCAATGATAAAAAGAAATGAGTTATCAAGCCATGAAAAGACATAAAGGAAGCTTAAATGTACCTTGCCAAGTGAAAGATGCCGGTCTGAAAAATCTACATACTTTGTAATTCCAAGTATATGATATTGTTTAAAATGTAAAACTATTAACACAATAAAAAAAATCATTGGTTGCCAGGGCTAAAGGAGGAGGAGGATAGAGGTTGAAGAGGTAAAGCACAATGAACTTTTAGGATGATGCTACTGTTATGGTGGATACATGATATTATACATTTTTCAAACTCCATAGAACTATACAACACAAAGAATGATCACTACTGTAAACAGTGGACTTCAGCTGATAGTAATATATCAATATTGGCTAATTATAACAAATATATTGCACTACTGCAGTGATCTTCAACCTTTTTCATCTCATGGCACACATGAACTAATTACTAAAATTCTGTGGTAAGCCAAAAATATATTTTTCACAAATATGACAAAAAATAGGTATAATTTTGATTCGTTCACATCAGATGGCTATTGTGTTGGCTGTTGTGTCATTTTTTATTTGACAATCTAAGGGATAAGAGGTGAGTGCCCCTGGCTAAATACTCAGGTATTATATGTTTAAAAAATTCTTGCAATGCACTGGATGAAAATTGCTGCACTAATACAAGATGATAACGACAGGGAACATTGTGTGTGGCAGGGGAGGTATCTGGAAACTCTTTGTGCACCTGCCTGTTTCAGAGGGCATAACTTCTCTTGTTTCTGTTCCCAGGAAAGAGCCCCAGGGAAAGTGTTGCTGGATGCAGTTTGCAACCACCTCAACCTTGTGGAAGGTGACTATTTTGGCCTGGAGTTTCCTGACAACAAAAAGATCATGGTAGGTGTTGTCATATTGATATTGCTATTTTATTTCCTGTTTCATTTGGGAGAAGGGAATGATTGGGACCTTTTCTTGACCATACAGAAATATACAGAAGAAAAACACCCAGAGCACTTTAAATCTTTTTCTGAAAGTAACGTGTGGATGGCATTAAAAGAGAATACACAAAGAAGACCATCTCCCTCTCACCCTTTTCCCACAACTTTCCCTCCAGGGCCACCATTACCAGTCTCTTATGTGTCCTTCTGATCAAAGTCCATGTATATATATACATTAATACATATTTTTGAAATACGCTAATATAGGTGTCACACACACCCGTACTTTTCATACCTTCCCCCATTAAAATGTCACTAAGATCATTCCTTTTCAGGACCTAAAAAGAATTCACTTCCTTCTTTTTAAATAGTTTCTTAGAATTCCAATGAATGTATATGCCCTAATTGGTAACCTCTATTTTAAATGATGGGATACTTAGGTTGTTCTCAACCTTTTGCTGTTACAAATGGTGTTGCTATAAACATACTAGTACATTTGTATTTGCACTCATGGCCACGAATAGCAGTACTTCAGATCCAAAAGCACTGACTTTCCTAGTGCATGGGTTTGCCTGTTGGCTAAATACACAGTGGGACAAAAGTAGGTTTACAATCGTGAGTACACAAAACAGTTTATTCTTGTATTATTATTATTAATTGTTGTATTATTTTCCATACAAACATCTGTGAACTTACTTTTGCCCCACCCTGTATGTCATATTGTTCTCTTAGAACATAGCTTACTGTTTTTTTCTTTTTTTAATTACCTTATTGTTCTTCAGTTACACTTGTCTGCATTTTCTCCCCCCTCCCCCCAACCCCAGCCAAACCCACTTCCCTCCCTTGCTTCCACCCTCCCCCTTGGTTCTGTCCATGTGTCCTTCCCATTGTCCTCTCCTGTCACTACACTCCCCTCTGGCTATTGTTAAATAGTTCTTAATTTCAATTTCTTTGGTTATATTTTGTTTGCTTTTTTCTTTTGTTAATTATGTTCCAGATAAAGGTGAGATCGCATGGTATTTGTCCCTCACCCCCTGGCTAATTTCACTTAGCATAATGCTCTCTAGTTACATCTATGCTGTTGCAAATGGTAGAAGCTCCTTTTTTTTTTTCTCTTTGCTGCGTAGTATTCCATTGTGTAAATGTACCATAGTTTTTTGATCCACTTATTGGCTGATGGGCACTTAGATTGCTTCGAGCACTTGGCTATTGTAAATTGTGCTGCTCTGAACACTGGGGTACATGGGTTCTTTTGAATTGGTGTTTCAGGACTATTAGGGCATAATTCCAACAGTAGAATTGCTGAGTCAAAAGTCAGTTCCATTTTTAATTTTCTGAGAAAATTCCATACTGTTTTCTACAGTGGCTGCACAAGTCTGCATTCCCACCAACAGTGCACTAGGGTTCCCTTTTCTCCACATCCTCTGCAACACTCATTTGTTGCTTTGTTTATTATGGCCATTCTGACTGGTGTGAAATGGTGCCTAATTGTGGTTTTAATTTGCATCTCTTGATGGCCAGTGATACTGAACATATTTTCATATGTCTCTGGGCCCTCTGTATATCCTCCTTAGAGAAGCATCTGTTCAAATCTTTTGCCCATTTTTTAATTGGGTTTTTGGTCTTCCTGGACTGGAGTCATATAGTTCTTTATATATTTTGGAGATCAAACCCTTGTCCAAGGTATCATTAGCAAATACATTGGTTTTCTTTTCATTTTAATGCTTTTTTCTTTGGCCATGAAGAAGCTTTTTAATTTGATGAGGTCCCACATGGGTTTATTCTTTATGTCCCTTGCTTTAGAGGAGGAATCAGTGAAGAATGTGCTGCATGGAATGTCTGAGATTTTCCTGCCAATGTTTTCCTCTAGGACTTTTGTGGTGTTACGACTTATATTTCAGTCTTCTATTCAACTTGAATTTATTTTTATCATGTAAGCTGGTGATCGAGTTTCATTTTTTTGCATGTAGCTGTCCAGATCTCCCAATACCATTTGTTGAAGAGGCTATTTTTACTTTATTTTTTGCTTTCCCCCTCTTTGACAAATATTAATTGACCATTGGGACTTGGGTTTATTTCCAGGCTCTCTGTTCTGTTCCATTGGTCTATGTGTCTGTTTTTATGCCAGTATCAGACTGTTTTGATTACAGTGGCCTTGTGATACTGTTTGATATCAGGTATTGTGATTCCTCCTGCTTTCTTCTTCCTTCTCAAAATTGCTGCAGCTACTTGGGGTCATTTATGATTCCATATAAATTTTTGAAATGTTTGTTCTGTCTCTGTGAAATATTTCATTGGTACTCTAGTAGAAACTTCATTGAATCTATAAACTGTTTTGGGTAGTATGACCATTTTGATGATGTTAATTCTTCCAATCCATGAGCATAGTACATGCTTCCATTTGTTTGTGTCTTCCTTAATTTCTTTCTTCAGTGTTGTATAGTTTTCTGAGTACTGGTCTTTTACCTCCTTGGTTAGGTTTATTCCTAGGTACTTAATTTTTCTTGTTGCTCTATCAAATGGGATTTTTTTTCCTGATTTCTGTTTCTGATGTTTCATTGTTGGTATACAAAAATGTCTTTGATTTCTGAGTACTGACTTTGTATCCCACTGTTTTGCCAAATTCACTTATTAGGTCGAGTAGTTTTTTGGTGAAATCTATTGGATTTTCTATGTGTTAGGTCATCTGCAAGTAATGATACTTTTGCTTCCTTTTTTCCAATTTGGATTCCTTTTCTTCCTTTTTCTTGTCTGATTGCTGTGTCTGGGACTTCTACTACTATTTTGAATAGAAATGGTGAAAGTGGGCATGCTTGTCTTGTTCCTGATCTTAGTGGGAAAGCTTTAAGTTTTTGTCCATTGACTATGATGTTGGCTGTAGGTCTCTTGTATATAGCTTTTATTAGGTTGAGGAATGCTCCCTCTGTTCCCACTTTGCTGAATGTTTTTATCATAAATGGGTGCTGTACCTTATCAAATGATTTTTCTACATCTCTTGATAGGATCATGTAATTTTTGCCATTCATTTTGTTTATGTGATATATAACATTTATTGATTTGCAAATATTGTACCATCCGTGCATCCCTGGGATGAATCTCACTTGATCATGGTGTATGATCTTTTTAATGTATTGCTGGATGCAGTTTGCCAATATTTTGTTGAGGATTTTAAGCATCTATGTTCATCAGCGATATTGGCCTGAAGTTTTCTTTGTTGTGTCTTTATCTGGTTTTGGGATTAAAATGATGCTAACTTCACAAAAAGAATTTGGAAGTCTTCCATCATTTTGGATTTTTTGTAATAGTCTGTGAAGAATGGGGGTTAACTTTTCCTTAAGTGGTGTGTAGAATTCTCCTGTGAAACCATCTGGTCCAGGGCTTTTGTGTGTTGGGAGTGTTTTGATTACTGCTTCAATTTTATCAACTGTTATTGGTCTGTTCAGGCTTTCTGCTTCTTCACTGAGTTTTGGAAGATTATATTTTTCTAGAAATCTGTCCATTTCACCTAGGTTTTCAAATTTCTTGGCATGTAGTTCTTCATAGTAATTTCTTACAACCCTTTGTATTTCTGTGGTATCAGTTATAATCTCTCCTGTTTCATATCTGATTGTGTTTATTTGGGTCCTCTCTCTTTTTTTCTTGATGAATCAATCTACTTAAAGGCTTTTCAATTTTGTTTACCTTTTCAAATAACCAGCTCCTGGATTTATTAATCCTTAGAATTATACTTTTAGTCTCTGTATGTCATTTAATTCTGCTCTGATCTTGGTTATTTCCTTCCTTCTACTTGCTCTGGGCTGTCTTTGTTGTTCCTCGAGTTCTTGCAGATGTAGGGTTAGGTTGTTTGTTTGAAATGTTTTTATTTTTTTAATGCAGGCCTGTATCATTATGAAATCCCCACTCATGACTGCCCTCACTGTGTCCCATAAATTTTGGATTTAGTGAGTTCATTTTCATTTGTTTCCAGAGACTTTTTAATTTTGATCTCATTCTTAATCCATTCATTATTTAATAGTATGCTGTTCAGTCTCCGTGGGTTCTAGTGTTTTTGAGTTTTTTCCTTGAGGTTGGTTTCTAGTTTTAGTCTCTTGTGGTGCAAGAAAATGCTTGATATGATTTTAATTTTCTTGATCTTGTTGAGGCTTGTTTTGTGTCCTGCCATGTGGTCTATCTTTGAAAATGTTCCATGTGCATTTGTAAAGGATATTTTGCTTCTTGGGATGAAAGGCTCTATATATGTATCAGTTAAGTCCATTTGATCTAAGACATTGTTCAAGCTTTAAGTTGGTATTTTGTTTGGAAGATCTATTCATTTTTCAGAGTGGGGTTTTAAAATTTCCTAGTATAATTGTGTTGCTCTCAATATCTTTCTTAAAGTCCTCCAAGATTTTCTTTATGTGTTTGGGTGCTCCTATGTTGTGTGTATGTATATTTACAATATTCATGTCTTCTTGATGTGTTCTTTTCTTGAGTATTATGAAGTGACCTTCTGGGTCTCTTTTTATGGCCCTTATTTTGAAGTCTGTTTTGTCTAATATGAGTATTGCTACCCCAGATTTTCTTTCCTGTCAGTTTGCTTGAAATATTTGTTTCCAGCCCTTCACTTTCAGTCTGTTTAGGTCTTTCATTCTGAGGTGAATCTCTTGTAGGCAATATATGTGTGGGTCATGATTTCTTAATCTATTTAGCTATTCTCTGTCTTTTGATTGTAGTATTTAATACGTTTACATTTAAGGTTATTATTGATAGGTACTCATTCATTTCCATTTTTTGTACCTGTGTTCCTCTCTCTCTTACTGTTTTTCTTCCTATTTTTAAAGCAGACCCTTTTGCATGTCTTGCAGAGCTGGTTTTGGTGGAGGTGTATTCTTTTAGACTTCTATCATCTAGGCAGCTCCTTATTTGGCCTTCCATTTTAATTGAGAGCCTTGCTGGGTAGAGTAATCTTTGTTGCAGGCC